GTGGCCTAATAATTCCTACTTTGCAGAATGAAACACATTTCGTGTTTACGTGGAAAAATGATTATATGATGCGTACACCCACTTTACCCCCGCCCCATATATGGTATTTTCAGGTCTACACAACTATCGTCTCTATATATTTTGAACACAACTTTGTTTATTTCGGAGGCAATCGCTGGAATAACGTTGCCTAACTGTTGTTTTATTTGAGGTTTAAATATTGATAAGGACCATAATAAAAGCTAGGTATTTAAGTGCATAACATGGACAAGATATTCTTGCAGGATTAAGGTTGCTTCAACGGCAGTTTATCCTGACGACGTAAATACAGGAATTATCTATCATATGATTTATAGTACGAGTTTCAGTTCAAAGCGGATGGGAACATTAAATCCACGACGAACCAATAGGCTAAATTTTCTCATGTAAGATTCAAAAAGTAAGCAGACAATGGACTAAGAAGCCATGGTAAAGTACATCGACAATATGCTTCAAAACTTGCGAAATGTAGACAAGGTTTCTAGCTCCATAACATACTTCATTTCCCATCATTTGCACACAGCAGGAAAACTTAATGTAACACATGAGGTAAAAAATTTGGAGAACTTGGCGAAGAAGCCATTGGAAATTATTATGAAGTCGTAAATTCAATCTGCTGTTTTCAACTATAAATACAAAAAACAGGCGACACTTCGTCTTCTTTCCTACGGAGACTTCACACATTGAATGATATTTCCTAAGCAAAACGCGAAGCATGTGCTAGTTGCACCACAATATTGCCTAATCGCTTGGAACCAAGGTGGAATTACCAATATAAATAAATCATTTGCTTGCTGGATCCTTCCACAAAAAGTGAGTTTTCGACTACATTTATCTAAAACATGAAGGTGGAAACATTATAATCATATCCATCAGGAGTGTTTCGATCGGTCTCAGCTCGAGATGGTGAACTACCTGGGGTTGGATATGCAGTGTGACGTCACCCACTAAGTATTTATCACGCACAAGAAATATCATACATCTAATGCAGAGGCAAATGCTTATGTCATACTTGCCAAAACCGACTGTCCCATTGTCCTACTGTAGTGAACAAGAACACGGGTGGGGACAATCGAATGTATTTAGCTCGAAAATTACAGACTATCTCAACAAAATCTGAATACCATAAAGTCAATCGTCAATTTGCAAATTATCAATACATCATATCAAACTGTACTGTTCAAGCTGCAAACACTAATCCATTGTCTCCCATTCCATTGTTCATAAGTTTTCTTACAAATTCCATTATGTTCTTGCTCCACCTTTCTTGGTCTTCGCCATCTTTTGCTGCCGGACATTACGTTCTTTTAACGCACGTTATATACTACTTATATCAATATAAGTAGCTCACACCATACTACTACTAGTGTAACAATGCATCTTGCAAGTTTCTCCAAAATGATGGCAATTAGTTTGATACTGAAAATGTTGTTAAACATCGGGATACTTAAATCTTAAGTCCACATTTCTCTTAGTTCCATCGTGACATCTGTAGACATTGAGTCGACATTGGATGGTTTTATCCGACCAAAAGTCACCGACAATGATTAGTTTACTTCGGTACGGCTCCAAAAGATAACCTGAAACGGTCCATAGCTACTGGTCAGATACTTCAGGCAGTCCATCGTAAATACAGTTATTTTGATTTGCACGTCCAAATTTCAGAAGATCTAGGCGGATATTCTCTCTGTGATGGTAGACGAAAGCGTCCACAAATTGAAGTTGAAAATTATTATAGCATCCAAGATCAGTTTGCAATGACTTTGGAAGATCTTGCAAAAGTCGGCGGAATCGCTGAGGTATGGAATCAACCATTTCACTGTAAGATACAAGACAACAACATACCTATAACAAGCTTTTAAGGACCTTTCATCAACGTACAGATGCCAAGTTTTTAAATGCCAATCAATTAGAATAAATAATAACATAATTTCAACAGCCACTGTAGGAACACGATAACTGTAACTGCAAAAGCAGTCAAATGACGGAGTTCAGCAGATATAAAGATTACAAAATTACTCATATTTCACAGCACTTTTACCAGTAACACTTCTATAGTTGAAACGTACATTTGATAGGCTATCGATATATCGAGTAGTGACTGATCTAAGCTGGTTAGTGGTTGTAGTAATAGTGGAGCAAAGCGAATTCACTCATGATCTGGTGAGTCTATCAAAACAAACGTGGTCGGCATCGAAGACTCACAGAGCTATCGATTTTCGGGATTTACTTATCGCTACAGAATACAACAGTGATTACTGAGTCTGTTATATAACAGAATGTTCTTTCCATTACTTCCTACACACAGACAAACTGTCTATTTGTGAAATCGATCTTTTATTTTTTTCATTCGTCTGTAAAACCTCGACAAGAGGCAGTCCATCAAGTTTGAAAATCTTCATATATACACATTTCGCAAAATAAATAACCGAAACTTAATTCCTTAAAATAAGTTGGTCTATGTGGAAAGACTCATTTGCCCGATATACCAGTTATACACTAAAGCAAAGTCATTACTTGCATATGGAGTTCAACATTTTATCATCATGATCATGTAAAGCGAAAACTGAAGCTGTTATAATAAACTCTAAATATATAAAGTTCACTGCCAAGTGTGCGACGTAGACTCGGAGACCTGAAGTTTTGTGTGAAATATGCTTACTCCTGCAATTTCCCTACACAACTGACCGAAAATGCTTGATGATTTTCCTCAATTTGCCGAAAAATTCACCCAGGATTGATATTATATCGGAAATTAGCTCAAAAGATGCATGAAGTTATTAGCTTGAGGTTACACAAACGTGTGAATGTGAAATTCAAGAATAATTTAAACTGTTGGTTGTAACTCATCAGGAACTTTTCTCAGTTTAGATCACTAGTTCGTTTTATTCATACTCGTGTTTCCAGACTGTTATCGATCGCTTTCATCATCCGGTATGCACATATATATATAGTCGTATGATGTTGGGTTTGTATATAAACCCAGTGTGTTTGAAATACATGATTCATATGGCGGAACAACACATGTAAGCGAACAATTGTTTTCAATTAGATCGTCATCAGGCGTACTACCAGGCAACTTAACCAACGAATGAGTGAACATCTACCAACTTGGTACATAAAGGGCCAGCGAAAATCTATTCGCAGTTCTATATTGGCACATCTTATTGATAGCAGTCATGCGGTAGATAAATCGAAATCTTTTCGAGTTATCTATCGTATACCTCCATCATTTCCCGACGGAGTCCGTTCCCGTCTCCTACATATAGCTGAAGCCATTGGAATTCGTACATATAACCCCAATTTATGTGTACAGAAGAAATACGTGACCCCCAACCCCTTCCATGGCCAGCTATAACTTAACTAACAATTACTTTTATTTATTTATATCATTATTCATTTTATTTGTGTTATCATTGACCTTATTTTCACATCCATTATTTGTTTGTAATTTTCCGCCTCTTTGATTTCTTCACTATCTAATTATTTACACATACCTTATTACGTAATGATTTTAATGTTTTGTGATTACTATTCCTAGTCTATTTACCCATGTTTATTTGACCTTCCATTTCCAACGATTAACTATTGATAAGAGCTTTGTTATTGTATTTTATTATTCTCACTATTATCAGTTCACCTGTCTTCCGACTATCAACTTGTACTTTTACCTATTATGTGTAGTGACTTATTCTATTTCATTGTGATTATTGACTCATATTGCCTTGATTGGTTTAAAATTTTCGTATAAATATTCATGTATATTAAAGCCTGATGACGATCTAATTGAAAACAATTGTTCGCTTACATGTGTTGTTCTAATTTTCACAATGGGAATCATATGGCGGAGTCTGAGATTGATGTTAACGCCCCAACAAGGAGATAGACAGGGGTACCCCAAACTGCTCGTACGATTTTGTGTCAGTGGTAAGTCACTAATCTATAATTGGCGGTATCATTAAGTTAAATGATGATAGGGCACAAGTTTAGTACTGTGCACTCACTGACGGCCCACTTTTATTCTTCGATCTGTCTTCCCTTGACCACACTATTCTGCACGATTTCCTTCTGACTAGATACGACCCACAACACAAACCGCCTCATTAGTAGCACCACATAAGTTCAATAAAAGCTTAGTTCTTTTATCGCGCGTATAACAATAACATACCAATCTTTTGCAGTCCCTCCTGCTGAAACGGCCACATAAAAATAAGCATGTTTAAAAGTTTCAGTCTTTTCTTAGTGTGATGTAAATTAAGTACTAGCCTATTAGTAAATACAACTACGCTTTCAGATTACGAACCAAAAAAACATTGGAAACCAGGAATAGCCAGGTCGCTCTAAGATGTGAACCCTCAGAAGTCTTCATCTACAACCACATGCAGGTCAGACGTCAAGTTTCCGAAACTGTTTGGTAGTGCTTAACATCTAGAGTACCGAAGACGTAGAAAACGTTTCTGCCTATTATCAACCGATTGACGGAATTGCGTAATCCTATCCCGTTTTTATTTTCTGTTAGCTACCTCACACGCTGCGTGGCCGAATATTTGTCACTGTATTTCACTAGACTCAAGACGTCTTCTCGGTATTACCGTTTATTGAGGAAATGATTCCAATAATATCTTAAAATATCCACAACCCGTAATTAGACTAAAATATACTTATAAGCAGATTTAGTGTCTACTCACAAACTCAAATCCAAATACATAATAGCACATCTACGTAGTAGACGTGTCCAATCCTTAGGGTTTTCAACATTTTGATAACCATAAAATTTCATAGCTTCGAATTCTCTTTGAGCGATCATGTCTAGTCTTCCAAATCACTATCCAAATTTATTTCTCGAATTTACGTGATTTTCGATTTTCGACAGAAATTATCAGCAACTGATAGCACTTCTAGTTACTTCGACGTACTACCTTGTTAGGTATATGAAATTCATCAATCCAAATAATCAAGTATCAGTTAATAGCACCTTTTATTCTCTGATAAAGATGCTGTATACATGAAAGTCATACTGTCTACATAAGTGATTGAATGGTTTTAATAACAGTTTATTCCAAGTACTGATGAAGCCCACTTCGTATTTTCTTTAAAAGTGTCTGATATTTTCTAAGTTATGGTTCACTTATATAATATAAAGGAGATACAACTTTGGATTTGCAAATAAAAATGAAAAATTCTGCTGAACTTATTAGAAATCAGATAACTCAATTGAAAGCTCTTTAACAGAAGACAAAAATTGGATAGACGAACAGACTAAACATGGTCTTTAATTAACGGAAATCAATACCAATATGTAGGAGTTTGCTTAAGACAATCGTCCATTAACTTTAAATCCTTGAGCAAACTCTTTTCGAAATTGACATCTGATGTCGAAGTGAGAGACTTGAGGGATACATTACAAACAACTGGTTCACAAGTATCTTTCGAACTGACAACAGCTGTTTTAGGATCGGTTAAGTCATCTAAATGTCTGGCTGCAGCTGGTAGAGGGATTACATGACCTGTTTGTAGGGAAACACGGACCCGATTTCCCTCTTCAGTGTACCGCCAGGAGCACTTGCAAGGTTCGTTATTTGATGGATCCAAAAGAGCAACCTAAAGTTAATTAAAAGGTTAATAATCAAAACAGACTATGCGGAGAATGCAAAGAACATTTGATTCAATAAGACAAACCTCAATGTAGTGAAAAATTAAACGTTACCTACATAAATGCATACATGTTATGATAGGTCAACAGTGTACAGAAAATTCGATTATGCATTTTACTGACTGGTGGAAATTTCAAAGACAATTTTAGTCTTTTTCAAATGTACTATAATCAAGTGTGAAGAGTTGATTACAAACAGTTACTACCGCAATATTTACAGATACATGTAAGGTAATTTCTGTCAATCACTGAAAGGTCTCCACGTCTATTTAAACACTAAATCTTGATAAATGAAGGGCATTAAGATATGGCTCAGACAAAATAAATCTAAAGGAAAATATGTCAAGTGACAGAAGTAATGAAGCCATGAAAGAGTAATAATCCACTTAACAGTTTACTTCCTAAAATGTAAAATGGGAATTGCAAAAACAAAATTCCAGCCATTATATGATTAGAAAACGCAAGGAAAAAATGACGCATAATGCAGCACAGTAAGAAACTTTCAGACTTTTGATGTACAAAACAGGGATAATATGGGAAAAGTTGGAAAATCTGTCGAAACAACACCATACAATCATTCACAGAAATTATTAGCCCGAAATGCCCTGGTACGGCTGAGGGTGAGGAGAACCAGCTCTTCCTCTCAAAATGCTCTCTCATGACTACGCGTATACGGCCACTGCCAGGGAAGTCCTACTCACTACATTATCGGGGTGGCAGTGTTATTTACGACATTGAGGGGACGAAAAGCGAATGTCCGGCGATTTAAACGGGTTAGTGGATATGGAGGATCCATCTAGGGTAGTTGGAAAACCCTGATTCTAAACCAACGGTGTACATGGGCTTCAGGATCCTAAGGGGACAAATGGTGTGTGGACCTATTGCTAGTCACCGGCTACCATGGGATGGCATCTCCTAACGTTTCTCCACTAATGGATCAGACCTTTAGGTCGAAGGCTCCGGGTGTGGCCGCCTAAGAAAACCACCTACTTCGATCTTTGCATTCGGGCAGTATCCCAGCCCTCACAAAAATCAATGACAACTACTACTGAAAAAATAACTCTTGCTTCAGTGCTCATTCGGACAAGTAATATTCACAATAATATGAAGACACTTGTTTTGTTCCTTTTATACTGCGTCACTTATGTACTCCCTTTTATCCTTATTTTGTATATTCTTTTGTTTTTCAGCTTCTGCAGAAGCTTGCCTATGGTGGAAAACAAGCTGTCTAAATGACATCAAGTCACTGACTGGTCGAAAGATGAATGCTACCAACGGCTATGAATACTGAAACAGTCTTTCTCAAACCACATATCATTCAAACTGGACTCCTTCAACGTTCACATACTAATACATATCGGACAACAGATACGGTTGTCTATGACCTTAGAGAGTTGCAACATCGATGTCTGTTGTCTGTCTGAAACCCATATTGAAGACTTTAGTGGAGTAATACAAATTTCCATCTGTCGCTTCGAAAAGCTTGTTTCACGTGCGCACATTCGGGGATCCACTGGCATCTTCGGCTGGTTTTTCTGGCGTTGGTGTCGCACTAAGCGCTAGGGCTGAGGTAGCACTGACCGGCTGGATAACCATTAAATCCATTATGTGTTGTTAGATTAAAAAGCTCCAATAAAGTGAAAAACGATGTTTTTTAGTGATCTCCACTTACACTCTGACAGGTTGCAATCCGGTTATTATCAAGTGAGTTTTACTACCAGTTAACTGTTTTTCTACAGAAAGTGAGTCCGACAGATATTGTGTTACTAGCTGAAGACTTCAATGCTCAGGTCGGACGTCTAACCACAGAGGAAAATTGTTTGAGTGGCCATTAGGCACTTAAAAGTCGCAGGTCAGGTAATGGTGACAGTCTGCTGCAACTTTGCGCAGACTGCAGTCTGTTTCTGGTTAGCACTAACTACCGGCACAATGAGGGACAATGTGCTACTTGGCGTCCTGTTTATGCACCTCAAACTTGGGCTTAGATCGATTACATCGCCATTAGCTACAGCTGGCGTGGTTGTGTACAAGACTACTGCTCCCTTTGGAGTACCTTTCTTGACTCTAATCATGTCCTTGTTTGTGCTAATCTTATTTTACTTTTCAGCGGTCAACAAATTCATCGTCCTAAATTGATCGATGTCAGCAAATTGGTTGCAGCATCTGTTGCAACTAAATATCAAACCAAGCTAGGTTCTAGACTAGCTATAGCTCGCCGAAAAGTTTAGATAAGCATTGGCTGAAATTGTATGATGTTATAAAAATGGTGAGTAGAGTCGCTTACGGTTTCGCCAAACGCCCCACTTATAAGCACTGGATTTCAATAGGCTCGTTGCAAATGGCCGAAACACGTCGGTCTACTCCAGGTGACCGTGAATTCAACGACAAACGTAGTGAAAGTGTAGAAAGCTTGCATAAGGACCGAGAAGCCTGGTGTTCAGAGCGTGCTAATGAGATGAAAACAGAAACTGTTTCCGGTATGTGCCGGAAGCTTTTTCAACTCATCTGAGTCATTGGCATCAAGGAGTCTGGTGTGAGTGAAACAATCTACGAAGATGATGGAATGCCAATCAATAAGATCCACCGACATCTTGGACGATGGGCAGAGCTTTTCGAGGAGCAATTCCACTGGTCCTGACAACGTAGATCACGCTGTCCTACCCTTCATGGTCTGTGATCACTAATCTACCTCAGGAGATGGAAGTCCGCAAGGAACTCCAACTCCTGAAGTGCCACAAATCACCAGGTCCAGATGACTTACCTCTGGCCATTTTTAAAGACTGTGCTGACCTTTCAGCCAAGGAACTGACTGATTTGGTTACATAGGCCTGGTAGTTTTAGTGTCCCAACACCCTGAAATGAATCTAAAGTTGTCACTGTCGAGGGATAATTCTACTTTCAGTTGCGTCCAAACTATTTGCTTTCGTCATATCTCGTAGATTGCTGGATACCCGAGAGGGGTTGACTCGCAAGTAGAAGGCTGGTTTTCGTTCTGGTCAAAGATGTATTGACCACATCTTCACTCACCGCCGTCATATTTATCACAGACCAACAACCCTAATGTTTCTTGACATCATAGCTGCCTTCGATTCGTTGGACAGGACTGTTCCCTGGGATTGCCTATTGAAGAAGAGTGGGCCTAAGAAATTGATTAATATCCTGAAAGCTCTACACACAAAGATCTCAGGTAAAATGAAGCCATACAACCATCTCTCTCCATGGTGCCGTTCAAACAGTGGAGTTAGGCAGCGATGCCCAATCTTACTATTCCTCTTCAACTTTGCCCTGATGGAAGTAGGCAGTGGTGGTGCGAATCTGTTGCATACAGGAAAACTTTGACCATGAGCATGCGAATATTATTTTACTGTGCGATGATACTCAAACCATGCAATCAGCACTTAATCATTTGGCAATCAATGTCCGTAGGTATGGTATGGGCTTTGTAACTTCAAAGTGCAAAGAGCTTTTACAAGACTGGCAGGGCACTGACCCTACACTCACCCTGAGTAGTGAGTAGATAGAATTAGTAGAGGCATCCAGTGGCAACACCATGTTAGTAATGCAGAGGTTCGACATCGCGTGTTCCGGCCCAGCGACGATAATTCAGTTGGTGTCATTATCTTGAAAAATCGACTTCCGTGGCTTGGACATGTTCTACGAATGTCGATCAGAGAATTCCACGACGTGCATTATTTGCTGACTCTGGGACTGGTTGGAAAAAGCGGAGAGTTGGTCAGTGGCTGGCTTTTGTTGGTACGTCAGGACTTCTTTGTTGGGGTCCTAGAGATGGTACAATACAGTGGCTAGAGACGTTATCAGACATGGCTCAGAGTAGAAGGCAGTGACGACCCTTCTGTAACTTCTATTTACTTCATAAAAATGGATGTAACTTCTTTAACTGAAAGAGTCCTTTCTGATTATATTTATGCTAACTGAACTGTTTTTCCCATTATTATTATTTCACTCTCATACACTAATTTCTGTTCGTAGTTGTTCTTTTCTCATTATACGCACTTTACTTTCTCTATCTCTTTACAACATCATTGTTATTGTGTGGTGCATATTTATTCGGTGCCCCATTGTATCAATCTTTATGTTCAAATAAATAAATTAAAGGATAAATAAATCAACAGAACGAGAGTCACCTGGGTATCAATATCTAACGGGTCCTCGCTTCTTTTTAAAGAATCATATTTTTTAAAAGCTGTTAAACGATAATTAAGTCCATCCACATAGACCAAGCGTCTGATTTTCAAGACTGAAGAAACAATACCAATCTGAAAAAAAGAATGGAGATGATGTGAACATAAGATGACGTAAAACAACAATTAAATACGATTTCAATTTGTTAAAAAAAAGATACAAGAACAACGAAATAATAACTGTTTATTTGGGAACACAAACTGATCGAGAGTGGGATAGAAATGAGCGCTATACTACTGACTGGAATCCACGAAATTAAAACCCAATAAATCATTACAATACTAATCTACTGTACCATTAGTGAATTCCTTCTTCTCTAACCAGTTTTTCCAATATATTTTGTGTTAAAAACAGCTTTAATAAACAAAGATAATACTGACTAGATTCCAGTAAGTTATACTTATTCTGCCCCATCATTATAGTCTTATAATGATGAAAACACCACAATTCATTGAAACAAAATTATATAGCTCAAAGCAGAGCTTAAATATTGAAGAATTACCATCACTCCATTACGAATTTCTAATACCGATAAATTTCAGTATAAAAAATCACTGAATGTTTTAAAATCTGATCAAACGAAAGTTAATTAATGTAAATCCAGAACGTCAAGAGAAGTGGATGTGAAGTGATTATAAAGCAAAAATCGAAACTTCTTTAAGTTAAATCCAATCAAGAGAACCAATAATGAGTGCGATAAATTTTCAGGTAGTCTGGATAAAATTGTTAACGTCTTTATTATAGAGAAAAAGTCGTCTTACAAACAAATGTTTACAACAGGATTATAAGATCAAAGAATCAATAGAGAGAGAAATTATAGTAACCGAAAATAAGGAACAAATTCATGAAAATGATGTCCAATATAGTACTAAATCAGTGAGTTTCATTAATGCTAACACAAACGACGCAACTGAGGTTTTCAAGGATAGAATATCAGTCGTATCAGTCAAATCCTGTTAGTTTTCTGAGCTAGACAACTTTCAGTAACAGTACGTTCAATGTGAACAGCATGTAAAGAAATTTAAGTTAGTTTCAGAAACAGCGTTTTAAAATATACTATGTTTCTCACTAATCAGGTACTCTTTCACACATAAGCCAATCTATAACTGTTAATTAACAAATAAGTCAAACCACAATACTGGCATTCAAATAATTTTGATGTGATAGATGTAGTGAACTTCAGTACTTAGTGTCTCCATCAATCTGATTCCATTTTATCAGGAGAAAAATCCTAATTTTATCCTTAACTAGCGCATTGTAAGCATACCGAGAAAATATCAACAGTACCAAAAATAATCAATGTCAAACTAACAGTAAACTGTGGTACATAGCAGTGAGTGGGGATGATATTTCTCTACAAGCAAAATTAGGTAAAAACAAAATGGGTAACCTTTGAGCATATACATTTTAAAAAATCGATTACTGCACAAATGGAAGAAAGTTACTACAACCAGCACAATTACTTAATGATTACCTGAAAATTGATTATTGTGGAATAGTTCGGATTTGTACAACAAAGACTTTTGAAATTAAAACAACTTCAATTTACAAGTAATTCAGAGACTATTGACAATGTTAAAAGCGTTCAACAATCAAAGTGTATAGGTCAGTCAACAAGTATACTTCGTATATATAAATTTAAAGAAGATTTAAAAGCAATATCATAGGTTTACCAAAAGAGATGAAGGACTGGTGGCAAAATTGTGCCTTATATGTGAAATATTTTATTACCGTCAAAATATCTTGGATAAAAAATGGATTTCAATGGGACTAATACGAGTGAGAGTTCAAGAAAATAAGCATGACTCTATATCATAATGATTATCAATTATTTTGCCTTTAGACGCATTACAACCAAAATTTGAAGAAAGCTATGAATAATTAGGTTGTTTTCATTTTTGAGCATAACGTAAAAAATATTCCAAGAGTAAATTAGGTAAATATATTGGATGTTAACAATATTAGTTTTCAGTCTGAGTAAATTTCTAAAACCCAGTTAATAAGAATCTTGTTATCAGAAGACGGTTGTGGTTTACGATTAACAGATTTTACACGTGCCTGTTTCTTTAAATCATAAGTAGCAATCCAAACAACATTTTATTTTGTTTGAATGAATTTAACAGTGAGAGAAACTTACTCTTCCTTTATCCGGGCCACAAAGTATTTGGACACGATCACCTTTAAAAATCAATTGGTCTTCAGGTAGCATAGGTTGCAACTTTCGTGCTTCTTTGCGACCATTCGGATGAATAACGCACCAAGTTATATTCGGATATGGGAATTCGGATAGGCGGTTAGCAACGTTCCAAGGAGGTTTCTCAGAAAAATGCCAAATCGGTAGATATTTTTCTTCTTTTTTCTAAAAAGTAATTCAAATACACCTTTAGAGTGAAGAGTCATAAGAAAATTATCTGGTCTGTAAAAAGCATTCACTCCAAATAAAAAAGTTAAAAATAGACCAAGACTTCTTAGTTGGCACATTTCACTACTAGGATCAACACATCAATGATCTATTAGTTGAGACCGTAAGTGATATGAAACTAGCTAAGCACACGACGGTGGTAGATAGGAAATACAGTTCTTCTACTCATTGGGATAAAACGAAAAAATATTTACTATTAACTTTCTACCGAATGCTTAATTTATTTGAAACTACCAAGCCCAACCTTGGCATGATACCTATAAATCCAAATACGATTGTAGAGCTTCATAATAAAATCGTTGAAAAGATATGACTTAGCTGAAATTTGTGTTTTTAATATTGATTATAATCACTTAATTAATTACTATCTAATGCATGATGCCATAAATGCTTCTTTATTTTATGGTATGGGACTGGAAGATGGAAAATAATCGTACTAGATTAATTTTTGGCATAAAAATGAGCTCCAAAACAGATTTGAGAGGTTGTGTAAACAAGTAACTTCAGATATCAATAGATGTGGTTCACAAAAGGAACCAGTAGCAATACAATAGTATATTTCTATCTTGTCGTTCATGAACAATAAAGCAAGTCTTTAGGATGAATGAATTTGATATTCTTTAAAGTGATCACCAAGATTTTCTGACTTAATATATCTAAATAGAATGGGTAATTTGTTTACAATGAATAGAACATATTTTTAATTCTATAATGAGCAAGTAGCATGTAATTATATGTATATCTGTATACAGAATTGTATTATGCATATAATGTTACGACTTAGTAAGAACAGCTTCACAGGATTAACAATCTTAAAAAGTTAAAACACTAAAAAGTGATGGGAAAAAATTAGACCAAACTCCCATTAAATATACAAACAAATGAGTATAATAATGTTATTGTTCTGTCAAATGTAAAATACTTTTTTATGTTTAAGTGTGCACATGGATGGATATAACTTAATGAAAGGTTCAGTGTACAGCATAATCAGTCAGTCAGTCAGCTACAATGTCGGACCAGGCAAATATTTGCATCGGTCGAAGTTGCCGTACATCATTAGCACAAGATGAACACCGGATTCATAGAAGTAGTTAATCCAGTGGTCGTAATATATAAAGGATTGCATATAAGGACATAGTACAGGAAGAAAGAATTAGTTAGTAGAAAGAAAGATATGAAGTGATTTTAATCTCTTAGTTTAAGGGAAGACAGAAAGTGTACACCGACGCCATTGTGATCGATTCTGAGCCATGTCACCAAGAGTCGCCAACCATTGGTTACGAAAGTCACGCAAACACCAGCCAAGTAGTCTGCATCTACCAGCATGGATCAGACTAGAAGTTAATGACTTCAAGCACTGATGCCACGTTTTGGTTTGGCCGCCCCTTACTTTCTTCCAACCATCTCCAACACCGGTTAGCATTGCACGTCGTGGTAATCGGTGTTCAGGCATACGTAACACGTAGCCCAACCATCTCAGTCGATGAAGATTCACAACCTCATCAACTGATTTACCATCATTCCCTAATACCCTGCGTCTAACCTCACTATTACTTATCCGGTGATCCCAGCAGACGCCAGCAATATTTCTAAGGTATCTGTGGTCAAATACTAGTAGCTTACGAATATATTCTACTCTTAATGGACACGTTTCGCAGCTGTAAAGTATAACAAAACGAACTGCCGTGCACTATACTCGTCCGTTGATTAATAAACGGATATCTCACATTCGCCAAAGGTGACGTAAGTTGGTTAAAGCCAAACCAGCTTTTTCAATCTGTGCTGAGATTTCTCCAGACACCAATTCATTAGGGCTGATCAGACTTCCAAGATAAGTGAAGTTGTCAACGCGTTCGACTGCTTCACTCCCTACGCCCTGGTACGGCCGAGAGTGAGGAGAGTCAACTCTCCTTCTCGAAATGCGTTTAAATGTGTCTAAACAAATAAATTTAAAAGCCTTATAGTAGGTGACGTCAATGAACTATCTACTACCTGAGTAGGTTTTGTGACGGAATAAATAAATAAATAACTTCACTCCCTATCCTTAGTTCAGGTGTTGATGCAGGCCAGTCATGAAGCAACAACTTGCATTTAGAAGTGGAGAATCTCATTCCAAACATTCTCGCATTGTTGCTTAGTGCTAACAAAAGAATCTGCATTTTATCAACATCACCAAACAGGACTAAGTCATCTGCGTATGCTAAGTTGACAAGTGGACCTCCTGGTAGGAGATCAATACCCGAAAATTCAGTCGATGAGAGCGTTATTTCCATCAATAGGTCTATGATGAAGTTAAACAAAAACGGAGAAAGTGGACAGCCTTGACGGACACCACTTGAGGTTGCAAAAGTAGATGACAGTTCGCCATAAGCTCTGACTCGACTAATAGTGTTCGAGTAAAGAGCCTTCACAAGGTTTATGTACTTCTGAGGTATGCCTTTCAATGATAGACGCTGCCACAGAATCTCGCGGTCTACCGAGTCAAATGCTGCTTTCAAGTCGGGAAAGACCAATATTGTCGGACGCCGATAAGTATGCCTGTGTTCTAGAACCTGACGAATGGTGAATATGTGGTCGATGCAGCCACAACCAGGTCTGAAGCCAGCCTGATTTTCTCGTGTTTGCAGTTCACGAGTCTTTGTTAGGTGTCCGACAATTATTGAGGCTGTACATTATAATATGTACCTGAGGCGATTTCGATGGAGTTACATATAAATTTCTCTATATACAACCCTCTTATCAAACACTGGGATTCAAAATAGAAATGCCTCAGTTACCCACCTTTAGTCTTAGTTGGAAAAAACATTAAAGTTAGTTCAATATTTTCAACACTGATATGGTGGACCTTTGCGTTTTAGATGAACTAAAGTACTTCAAATTGTGTTTCCTGTTTTGTATAAACACCTAACTTTGTGTTTTTTTGGCTAAAATATTTGAATCACATTCCTACTTTGCAATCACAGCGCACAATTGTACAAAATAACTTCGTGTTATAAACAATAAGGGGAATTTTCGATTAAGTTTCCAGATAACGAGTATTAAGTAGCACTGAATGTAAACCATAGGCTTTCTATTAGTTGGACTCAACTGTACGATACACGATACAATTTACTGTAATGTTCAAACATTGAGTTCGGCAACGCTACCACAAAAATTCAACAATAAAATAACGCCAGCACATGGAGCCAGGCAGTATGATGGAAGTGAACAATGTTAATTCCCAAAAATTAACTCAATAAATTTTCACCAACAATAAATGAATACATACTTCATTTGGTAGAGAATTGGGCCGTTGAAACATATGATCCGTTTCAAAACGCCAACCTAGAAGTTCTTTTCGATAAACAGGACGGAACCTGATTAAGCGAGCTACATAACGTGGCCAATAATTAAATTTCTGGATATGACTCTTTATGAAGGTAAAACAAAGGATAAAGTTAGAATGTGTAAAATTATTAAACGATTTTATACTTACGAGATTATATTAAATAATATAATGCCAACCTTTAGTTTGCAAGTAAGTGACGCAACCCGTAACCTAGTACTAAAACTAACGCTCAGACATTGCTGCGCTCCTAAAAGAACGGAAACAGCTTAATGTAATAACTAAACTCAAAAGCAACTTGAAAAGAAACAAAAGAACTTTATTTTCTAAGCAATCCTACGAACTCTTGATAATGTTGTATAGATGGAGTCACAGATAGAAAAACCACGATATGCAGAAATTTTTGTCGGAAAATGAGACAGCTTCAATGTTGAAGAATCATTGATGTTCATTAAACCAAAGTGAAAGATAAGGCAAGAAATAATACACTTTATATGGCTTATTCAGATCTACATACCATCGTGAAATGGAGAAGCAAGCTAGTAAACTAACCAGTTATTTAGATGTTCATCTGTTTATAAACCAGAAATTTTTACAGGAAACAGAAGATTGAGTTCGCTGAAACTCATTGCTTTATTGAATGCTATGCGTATCAAGTGCATTGGTTTATAACAATTTATATCTCCATTTCGAAAGTTTAGCGACTAGATATTTTCTTGCTATAAATTACAAAACAATAGTTGGTAAGAATTCCTTGGAGGGTGGTAAGCAAAAACTAATCGTGACAGTTTAGTTATAATTATATCAAATAGTTGGTTATTATTACCGAAGTAATAAGTATGCAGTGTAATTCCCCTTTATAACATTATTCTACATATTCGTGAAATAAAGGTATCTACCAACACGAGACTTAGTTCGATTGTGAAAATGATAGTGGCAATATAGACGTAAACTTAAAATGCCTATTTATTTATTTCAACACATAGATATTGGTACAAAGAGGCACCAAATACATATGCGCCACACAAATCCCATTCGATATGTGTGAGGGCTGTGATACTGCCCGGGTGCCCAAACCGAAGCAGGTGATTTTCTTAGGGGGCCACACTCGGAACCTTCAACCTATAGGTCTGACCCACAAAACAATGGAGCACCGTAAGGAGATGCAGTCCCATGATAGCCGGTGACAAACAATTGGTTCATACGCCATTTGTCCACTCAGGATACTGATGCCCATGTGCACCACTGGTTTGGAATCAGGGATTTCCAACTCCCGCAGGTGAACTCTCCGTATCCACCAACCCGATAAAGCGCCGGACATTCGCTTTTTGTCCTCTCAATTTCCTAGACAACGCTCCCGCCGCGAGATAGTAAGTAGGACTTCCCTGGCAGTGGTTGTATGCACGTGGCCATGTGAAAGCATTTCGAGAGGGTGAGCGGACTCTCCCCAGTCGGCCATACCAGGGCATTTAAGTGTATGACGAAATCTCGATATGGATTCTGAAGTTTCGATTGGCTTTTGCCAACTAGCGTCAATCATGGTCGAAATATCCGCCTTACATCCAAAGGGCAAACTTAAGGAGTAGCAGTTCACTCTGTCCTACTTGCTGGATGTGAAACATGATTAAGAATAGCGGATATTCGTAGGTTATTGGCACTCGATCATAGGTATCAACGAAACATTACTCGTGAATTTTAGGACGACGAAGTAAGCAATGTCGGGCTTCGGAATAAAGTACTAGACATAAGGATTGGAAATCGATTGATGAGGTAGTAGGTCTTCATCAACTGAGGTGGTTTGGATATATGTTACGTATACTCAACCATTACCTGTCTTGATGGGCGGTTTTTTCTGGTGCACAAGTAGGCTGGACGACAGCTAAGGGTGGTCAAACCAAAAGATAGAATCAGTCAGTGAAGTCACTGACAACTGAACTTAGCCATGTTAGTAGGTATAGATTACCTGGTTGGGGTCCGCGTAATTATCGTGACCAATGGTCAAACTCTGAATGACATGGATCAAAATCCTTTGGAATGGCGCATGTGCATCCACTCTTAGTCTTCCGTCGGATTTTGAGGTCCTAAATTACTCATGACTATTTTGTTTGTATTTCTGTTTTTTGAGACACATTTTTGATGTCTAACTCTTACTATTATCACTGAAACTGTTACTACCTATGCTATTCTAGGATTTGGTCCGACAACTCAATCGCTCTGTGCCTATGGGGTACAACAACTTGAACCGATGTACATACTTACAGGTTCTATGTTGTGACTGACTGACTTATTGGCGGTAATTTTTAACTTTAAAACCAGTCAGTAGAGATCAGTCAAAGAAATTATGGATTCATTCTTCTGCAGCTATTCTGAATATGACAGTGAGCCCCTAGTGAAACTTATGGTCTCCGAATCAGTTTTGTTTCTGAGATAAGCTAATAAGGAGCGATGATTGTTAGGACAATCGTCTCTTAGAATGGACATCTGAAACGTTATATGGTGTATTTTAACCAACTAGGGGCGATACACTGTTCCTCCATGAGTTAAAGTAGAAAGCACACTACAATTCTCAAGTATGAACTGTTTTACTGAGATTGGAGAAAACCCTATGAGCAATACACTAAAATAAAATTATCGGGAATTCCAAGTCCAATAAATTGTAATGACAGCTGTATTGTGAATTGAAGGTAGTACCTCACAATTTTTCATTATCTTCTAGTTAACAAGAATGAAATTCTTCCGGTAGTAAGCACAAAAGAATCAGGTCGCTTAATGTGATGTATGAAAACTCTACCGTCGGTGATAGATACCTACTTGGTTAAGCGCTGACAAGATTTAATGTCTTAAAGACCAATCACAGAAGCCAAACAAATAGTTTAGTGTCGCAAATACGTTAGACTTGGAACAGTGACCACGTTTCTAGCTGTTTTGTGCAAACTTCGTCAATTACTAACTTAACAAATGATATAAATGGTCAATAGAAAGCTGGCAAACACAACCAATTTAGTCTATACCCATGGACTTTGCTTAGGTGTACAAAATCCATAGTTTGAAGATTTAAACCTGTACCAAATATTCTCAGTATCGTATAAGGGGAATTAAAAGTTTTTAGGTTCCCGTATGTATCTGAACTTTTTCCCGACACAATAAATCTACTGTCGAAAAACAATCGCCGAAAGTGTGTGTAAAAATATCAAACACCACTCGTAGCAATGGCACTGAAGAGTAGGACTTCAAATTATCCTACTAGTTCAAAGATGACATTTCCATAAATAATTTCAAGAGTTATTTGTTATTACCAGACAGTAGCTAAATGTAAAACAACCGAATGGTTTTCATTACACACCAGTAGTCTTGACCACTACATGTCTTCAGTCCATCAGTTTTATCATATCCTTTGTCATGCTTGGGATCTGCAAAAGGTAGTCGCTGCCTTAAAAATTCCTGCAACTACAGATAAAACTAAATATGCCTTTCGGTTAAATAAAAAAATGAGTATTCATTTTACGCTGAGATAATCTTTAAAGAAAACTGTTTTTAAAAGTTTTGACTACGAACAAGAATCCGATCATTTTTGATAAAATATAATCGATTTGTGAGTATCAAATGTTCGTCATTATGAGTTTCCCTACTACAATATTAATGGGAAAAATGAACCATAAAGATGGCAAAAGAATAAAGAACAATAACAGTACCAATTAGAAAAAAATACCAGACGTATAAGAATAAGGTTAGAACGTGGCTAATTTCGAGAAACAAAATTTGTGAAAATAATACTGGAGGAAGACAAGGATTAGATCTAGCTACGCTTTTGTGACCGATTCCAAGTCATGTCATCCGACATTTTCAACAAGTGACTGCGCGAACCCCAACCAAATAGTATGCATATACAAACACGGCTAACGAACGGCCAATTACTTCATGGAATGATGCCATATCTTGGTTTGGCAGCTCCTAGTATTCTCCAGATTTATTTACACTTTGGACAAACCAGGCTTTGTGGTAAAAGGTGGTTGGTCAAACGTAACACATGTCCTAACTATCTTAGTTGACGAAAATCCCTTACAAAACCAATCGACTCGCTATGTTTTCTCAGAACGTTAAGGCTAGTCTCAGAAATCTTTATTTGGCTTTTCCATTGTATGGGCCTTATGTTTTGAAGATATCTGTGATCAAATACTCCCAACCGACATGTTTTTTACTTACAGATCACGCTTCTTACCCTTTGCTTAGTTAACGCCACCTATGGCATAGGTTAATAAAATCGGGTCAAGCTTTCCGCATCCATGCCGAGGGTTTGCCGGACCATAACCCAACAAGCCTGATGAAAATTTAGAAACAATTCTCGACGTTGACGCGCTCAACAATTCTACTCCTTACCATTAGTGTAGATTTTTCGAGGTCACTTTACCATTACTCAAAGGCCGTTCACCGGTCGAATCTATCCATATGAACCAACTGTAAGACCAACTTTGAAGCACGCGCCATACATTATCCAACATCCATATGACGAACGTACACAAAATGATGTATGCTTGGAGTTGAAGTAAACGTTTTCAGATCATTTAAATGTATCGTATCCAGTAGATACTTGTAAATACTTTGCCATAACAATCTCGCGCGCTTTTCGAACGGGAAGTTTAGTACTAACGTGATTTGCATTTAACAAACTTTTGCTGTGTTCTTACGCAACAAAAATACCATTTCAGTTCTAAAGAATCTATCCTGAGCTATACGTTCGGTAGATTACTATTTTTTTAGTTTCACCATATTTAATAGTTACCTGTGGTTTTGCCTCAGTTTACTATTCGGTTTGTTTTTGTTTTTCACGTATAGACTAGTTTCAGTTTATAACACTCGTTTTATTCATTTTTAGCCGTTTTCAGTGTGCTATTTAGTGTTTTTTAAAGGTCTTAGGCTCTTGCAAGCATCTATAACATAGTTCGCTTCAACATAGTCATGAAAAACTCATGCAAACGTCCGGGATGCCGTTTTGCTGTTGCAACTGGCATGCAACGAAGCATGCACAGATCTAACATCAACTGCTTACAACAGACTCAGCAAGTCAGACCAAAAATGGGTATGTGTCACGTGCAGCACGTATGCTGTAGTTTTGCTGAGTAACATCATTGTCCTACTGACAGGTCTTCGGAACAAGTTGTCAGTTAACTTGGACAACGACAGTAAGAAAACCGATAGACAAACAAGAGCGTGCGACGGATACAAAAACAGGGATGTCGATAGGTATACCATCGATGGAGCATCCATCAACACTAATGATAACGTGTCGAGGCTCCGCACCATCATTACGTCGAAGGTATTAGACTCCCTAAGCGAACTCGGGTCTCCCAGCTCAGGGTCCCTGAACTCAACAGTGGTTCCCAAAAACTATGTAGGTGATTTGAATCACGTTAAGAGAGCCCAAAAGAACCAGGCATCACCGCTTAAGCCGAGCAACCCAAGTGTTGCTGTACGGAAATTAACTGGTGATTTGGTCGCACAGTCTACTACCAAGATTGTTCGTCCGGTCAATAAAGAGCCCAAGCCTCAAGAACGCACACTGGCCTCCAAACAGCAAGTTATTAAACATGAATCCGCCGTGAAACCTGGTAAAGTAACAACAGTTCGTGACGACTCTCTCATTATCATGAACCTCGTTGATAATCCTGACCTTCCTCTCAGTCTGCGGGACAAAAACGACAGGATGCTTTGGGGTGAATTGAACAAGAAGCTAGAAATTCCTAGAATAGAGCCTTTCATGGTCACCCGGCTCGCTAGAGGAAAGGACTCTAAGCATCTAAATCACCCGAGTAACACTTAAGAATGCTACCGATGTAGAGGACGTCTTACTAGCAAGTCACTTGCTGAAATCAGATGGTAACGTAAGAATATTGCCCGATATACTGTTCTCTGAGCGCAATATCATACGAAACATCCCTAAAGAATCTCGTGAGAAGTTTTTCCGCGGAAGAAACATAATTGTGCAAGGTATATCGGAGAATGCAGACCCTACTCAATCAAATTCTGACATCAGGGAATGGAAATTCATCAAACAGTCCTTGAGGCTCAAACACGTACTGACTCAGCATGTGACGAGATTAGCCAAGAAGGACGGTGATCTTAGACCCCGTCTAATGAAGATAACCTTCCCATCTTCCCACATGGCGGCTGCAGTTCTGGAAGCATTTCGTGCCAACAGACGTCGATTGCCACCTGGAATCCACATGCACCCGGACAGGCCATATGAAGCCAGGACCAAGCACAAAGGCAAGTTGGAGCTGACCATTCCACTTGTGGATTGTCTAAACGATAAAAAAAACGTGTAAAGGACAGGGCCTACCACCTCGGTAAACCTCACATAGGTGGGCTACCTGTCCATTCACATAAGGCTCTACCCGTCTCGGTTTCACACATATCCTGATTCTAGGGGACTTTAACCTTCCTAGAGTCAACTTCGTGGAACACACGTATACTGGAGGCGACAACTCAATTGAAGCTCGGTTCTTCAACCTCATCGATGACTTGGGCTTATATGAAAATGTGAGGTCGACAACTCGTTGGAGAATCAGTCAGACACCATCGCGGTTAGACTGTGTATTCACAAACGAAGAATTCCTAGTTGACAACCTCTCAATCCTGGCTCCTCTGGGAAAGAGCGATCATGCCTTCATAGCCTTCAGTTTTGTCACCAAAACTAAGCTAAGGTATCCCAACAATAATTTGCGTTGGAATTTTAAACGGCTGAATGTGCCAGCTCTACACGACTATCTACAACAGGTGGTTTGGGATGTTCACCCCCAACTCGATGTGGACGGTCACTGGAACTTCTTAATGCACACGCTCTTATGTGCTACAAACCATTCAGTTCCTCAAACGGTTCCCAAAAGCTGTAAGCCACCTACAATAATCAAGAACCGTACCCTTCGCCTGCTAAGCCGTAAAAGGCACTGTTGGGCGGAATACAAATGAACTGACAACGACGGAACGTATAGGCAATTCAAATATATCAGGAACATATGCACGAAGGCTATAAGAGAAGACAGGCTTCATTATCAGACAAAGCTTATAGACAAATTTGCCTCGAACCCTAGAAGCCTATTCCGTTATGCAGCCTCTCTTCGTCAAGCCAAAACAGGAGTTTCTCAACTGCTAGGTCTTAAAGGCCCAACCAACAACGATGGTGACGCCGCTAACCTTCTGGCGGCACATTACTCTCAAACATTTCAGCCGGCTGACATCAACTCTATTGACGACAGTTTAACCTGTGATTCCACAGGGCTTTCCGAAGTGGACCTAAGCGCTGACTTGGTGTTCCGGAAACTGCAGCACTTAAGACTAGATATTTCTCCTGGCCCGGATATGGTCCATTCTGCCATACTGAGGGATGCAGCCTCAATCCTGGCAACGCCGCTTAGCGTGATGTTTTCACACTCGCTAAGCCAAGGCAAACTACCGGAAAATTGGAAGTTGGCTCACATCACACCAATTTTCAAAGGGGGTCGACGCAATGAACCTTCAAGTTATCGGCCGGTGGCTCTTCTTTCATTACCTTCAAAACTCATGGAGTCCCTGATATGCGATGGTTTAAACAATTATCTACTGTCCTTAAACTTCTTCTCACCCCAACAGCATGGTTTCAGGAAGGGTTACTCTTGTATAACCAACCTGCTGACTGCGGTGGACAGATGGACAAGCATCCTCGATCGCAAGGGAAAGGTTGATATCATATACCTTGATTTCTCAAAAGCTTTTGATAAAGTTAACCAGATGTGTCTTATCAATAAGCTCAAACGACTAGGTATCAAACCACCTCTAATCGATTGGCTTACTTCATACCTAGAAAATCGACACTTTAAGGTTAGGGTTAATTTCATTTTATCTCAGGCTATGGAATGTCCTAGTGGGGTTCCCCAGGGCTCAGTATTAGGGCCTCTCCTCTTATTTATCTACATAAACGATCTTCCTCAACAGGTAACGTCAGACTTATTGCTTTTTGCCGATGACGTGAAACTTTGGAGACAGACACGCAACCAAGTGGATATACAGGCACTTCAGGAGGATCTGACTCGACATCAAAGTTGGGCAGACGATAACGGACTTACCTTTAACACTTCAAAGTGTAAAGTTGTTCATCTGAGACATGTTGCAGAATACAGTCACAACTTAAGAAACTGCTCTCTAGTAGTATCCCTAGTCGAAAAAGACTTAGGAGTCCTGGCATCTTGCGATTTGAAGTCTTAGACTGTGACAAAAATGCCTTCCGAGCAAACCTTGCTTTAGGGATTGTGTATTTGGTGTGCAAAGCCATTACATAACTACTATCATTAAACCTTCATTCGTTTTATTACATTGTCACCATCTTTGGCAAGATTTTATTATCATTGTTATTTTAATTTACGTCATTTGCGATTGTGAAGCTCTGAAAAAAACATTCTACAAATAGAGAATCCTTCGCTAGACTAGTATATTCCATTGAAATAATCTTTTAACAACACGTAGGTATATCGTATTTTTTTGATCTAAGAAGAAAGCTGGCAATAAATTGGTGTTGAATAACTCAAATTCGATCTTTCATGATAAGTTGCTTGACACTATTGGAAAAGTTCTATATCGTTTTTGAAAGCGTGTGTAGATCGCCGACGCTTATCTACGCCTACTGTAGTTTGACAAGAATAGCGTGACCTCCCAGCCTACACCGAAACAACACCACACGGTTAATACCCAACGTGGATTACCCCTCCGTTGTATCCAGGTAATATGCCCAACTTGATGGCTGCACAGATAAAACATAATGTTATGCTTGAAAAGCAAAATAAAAACTTGAAATCTTTTCACGTCTATTTTGTTTTATTTCTCTTTATCTTAATATATGGAGTCTGCTTATGTTCGTGTTTATCATTATTACCGTTATTAAAATCATTATTAATTCCCCGACACATTGGATATTCTTTTTATCACTTCTTATCCTTCTAAACATATTTAACTCCAGATTGTCCTTTGAAATCAATTCTGACTTTCATAGCATCAATCTTCATCATTATTGCACAAATATTTATACTAATATCCGGTTTCATTCTGTATACTATTACATAAATCTAAATGTATTCATCCGAGTGCTTCAAAGGATTTTTATTTTATTTTTTTTCAATTGCTGGTTTCCTTCTGGGGTTGATATTGATTACACAATTATTATTCTTATCATGGATGAACCTTTTCATTAGATGTTCACTTATTTTCTCTCTCTTCTTCCCTTCTAAATAAATCTTATTCTTAAGATTAAGAAGTTTTTAATTAAGACAATAACTTATGTTACATTTAAATTAACTTCTCAGATTCGTTTTATCTTCACTATGCATATATGACTCATGCATAGTGATATTTTATTATCCTTTTCACTTGATTGTGACTTCCATTTCCTTCTTGAAACTCAATTCAATATTCTTCTCGATTACACAGACCCGATTTATTATTATTAAAATTCCACTATTATTATTCTAATTTTTTTTAAAATATGGCAAGTATAATGCTAACATTATTGAAAATTGTGTATTATTGCATTTTCTGAAGAAACCCGAAATGGTTTCTTGACAACACTTATGTACCCATAAGATGTTTGTGAATAATAATAATAATAGAAATGTATTAGTAAAAATGGTACAAGAAGAGAATGTGGCCACTACTGCATGAACCAGTCCATGGTGTGCAATTAATTGTTGAAAGTTGGTTGCCTTCGATCTTGACGATGGCCAAGGGACTGTTCGATACTCAGAGACCTGACTGCCTGATAGTTTGGCTAAAACACTGCTGATACTTCACTCACCCTTTATGTACTAGCCACCTTATGGAGTTATTCTACGATATAGACGACGTTTCGTTACAACATATTAATCAGTGGTCTGACATATCATCGTGATTAACTGTGCAAACGTCAACATGCCCAGGCTCATCATACATTAATGCCAAAGGTTTTACAGTTATAATTTCATTATTCCAACATAGTGTATTCCAACGTCTTTCAACTATTTTATTTTGGAACAAACTGATAAAAACTTGAAGTAGACAGGTAACTCACTGGACCTATCATTACTGTTAAACTGAACTCGGTCGATAAGGGACACTCACTACCACCCTAAAACGTCAAGAGGACCGCACAATCGGCTGCCTACTGCGAGTGGTCTTGCATCTATGAAGCCTGTTACCAATCAACTGGTTAGGACAACAGAAAATAACATCAGCACCAAGTTACTGTGAGTTCCTTCCTGTTTATCCTGTATTAACTTTTTACTCTTCAGTATACTATGTTGACTAGCAATTAATATTATTTCTCCATTCGTTCCCTTATCCACAACTCATATACTTCTATACTTTTTCCGCCTGCTTAAATAAACAACTATCCTACAATATACCCTTCTTAACGCTTATACTCTGATTGGCAAACTATACTTTATACTATAGTCAACAGAGGCACTGCATCGATGCTTTACCCACAGTCCATAGCTTGTAACTGCCTGATAAGCTTGTAAAATGGTACTTATAGAAATACTGCTTTCCAACAGTTTGTGAAACAGAGGATTGTGCGAGGTATGACGTATATACAAAAATAAGCCTAAATGAGCCTAACATCACAAAACGAGGAAGGGTGGAGTTACTGACCAGCAAGCATTGATGGGGAGGGCGATAACTTCAATCCACCCGTGTTTGTGGGGACAGAACATTTTGTATGTATCAGGCTCCTCATGATTGAGAATAAGTCAATCAATCTGTGATATAGATTGTTTTCCTACGCTCACCACTCAAACTCATGTTTCCAATATTATGCTGGATTAGCTATTCTATTGAGACAACCTATAACATGCTAACTCGGATTTTCACACTAGGATTGTGTCGCTGGCATCGGACAAACAAAAAAAGGGGGAAAAAGTTAGACAATAAAAGATGTAGTCATTAATATTCTTAACACTTCACCCTCTATATACACACCCTTCTTATAAACCGCTTTCCTTGTACCAGCCTTGACTTCCTTCCCTTCGTGTGAGCTTACTCCAACTTGTTAAACATCACAACTCATTGTTCTTTATTAGTACAATCTCTAATATGGAGCCTCTGACTTCATTTCAATAACAAGACATAATATGAATTTATTCTAATTTATTATACCTCTGTCCGCTCTACTACACTATGTTAAGCAGCGTTTGACGTTCATATCCAAGTGCCTTGCTGCTCTTCTGTTTCTCTTTTTTTTCTTCAAAATCTTGCTCTGAGAACACAGCTATGAAACTTCTGACGTTTGGAACAAACTTGATGTACGCGTCCCCTCAAGGTCATAGTTCACAGCAAGCGCTCTACGATCTCACTTTATAACAACTCTAAACTTAATAAGTTGGGAAAAATTATGTGAACCAACAAATATTGTAATTTATAGATCATGCCTGTAAAAACGGTGTGTACCTGCACATGCAGAAATATATTATTAATTAATTAATTAATTATTGAATCTTAAGTGTTTCATTACATTACCAAAGACGCCAATAGAGGATTAATCATTAATTTTCAGAGAAATGATTTGATCTTATTTAAGTCTTAATTTAGTCCCTTACGCTACATAAGCCTTCCTTCCTCGCAGTTTTATGTCGTCAAAACGGACAGCCATAGTTAAAAACATAATGGCAAACTGGATTTTAGTCCAAAGCGGTAGTAAACGTCTCTTCGAATGAAATTTGTAATCACATCACATGTTCTTGAGGCACTTCTGATACTGGAAGACAAGCTTGGGCGGTACTTTCATATTGCTTCTTGTGTGGACTCACCTTTCTTAGTGGAATACCAGCTCCTTCATGGTTTCCATGATAAGCGCATCTATATATTTCTTCGTAGTTGAAGATTTCAATGCAACTTATCCCAAATTCGTTAATCCTTAATTGCAAGAGAAAGTAAATCAACGTTGTCTCTCTAAAATTATTGTCCAGAAGCCTTGAGAAGGTGGGATTAGAGCTCTGTTACAAGGACTACCACAACAGGTAACTTCTGTGTTAACTGCGAACACAGCTTATGAACCGTCGTAAGGGACAGCTACTGTTGTTCGCACTTTTGCTTGAATGTTGGTTGTTCGAAAGCAATTGAACCATCTTAGGAAAACCACTTATTTTACATTATCCCTTCCTCGTTTGTACTTTGTCTATGACAACCAAGGAAATGTCAAATGGCCTGTTGCATCACATCCCTTTACTCTCTCAGCATTTCAGGGTTCAACTATATGCAGAGTAGTAGTTAGTCGTGTGTATTAGAAAATAGAGAGACCTGCAACTTACGTGGGTACTGTGAGTAATTTCAAATTCACCGGTTATCACTTTACTCGAACCACTTGTTCTAAACTAAAAATAAAAAAGAAGTATCCTCATGCACTGGGTTTTAATAATACAAAGTTATTATTGTTTGCATGTACTGGACGAAATTTTTCACAGACGTAACAAAATACTGGCACCAATGCTGAAAAGTCCTCCCAATCCCACTTTATTCACAAGTATCGTTTTCACTGTAACGTCTGTTTATTATGAGGGGAGTAAACATATCGTGAAGATTAACATCATCGAAACTTTCATCAAAGTTAAAAGTTTCCTGCTTTATTTTGCTCATTTTGATAACTGAGGCACTTTCTGTAAAGTTTAAGGTCACAAAATTTCTGCATGAGTTGTATGGATCTGTAGGGATTCCAGTGGGTGTTTTAGTTTCGTGGTGTGCAGGTATAGTTTGGTATGCGGCTCTATCCTTCACTGAGGTGACTGGTTTCACGGTTGATGTTTGGTGTGTAAATGATCTCACAATAGGATAGTAATTCACTATGGATCTAGTGTTGAAATTCACCTATCCACTGAATTTTCGTTAGTACTTGATGGTGGTCGGTTCCAGATGATATGGAATAGCTTTCATCTTAAGTTTCGGAGCCCAGGTACCTTGGGCACCGGTGTACGGCCGATAAAATGCAGGGTATTTGTTCCAACAAGGTATTTCAATGTGTTTATAGTAATTTCATGTTGTTATATTCGACAGACAACAAGATTTAGGTGCTGAAGATGTGATTTTCTGGTTGACTCTTTAAAAAGATGATCGTCGATGCACGAATGCACAATTAATTCGCTCCTAGGAATACAGGTGATCTTGATATCGCGATGTGATGTGTGACATCGTTGGTGGTACAAAGTCATCTTGATTATGATTTGTAGATCTCTGGAAACTTATCAAATATACGTTAGAATTATTTATAAATTGTACCTTTGACCCGAACTAGGCACAGCCTGTTTCACGGAAGATAGCTTACTATTTCAATCGACAAATGCCAGTTTACTCGGGTCGCGGATGAGTTATGATGTATCGGATCTGTGCCATTAATAATGATTGAGACGACAGTAACAGCAAACATTTGATGAACGGATTCACAAAACCTTTTTTCGCATGCGACAATCGGTACTCCCAAAACGTACTTGAATTATAGAGAGATGTGTTCTGGTGAAGAATATCTAAACTTTTTAGTTGCCCGATGAGATGTGTTCTGCAGTGTGCGAAAATCTGCTGCAGTACTGATACTTCTCAGTACTCCCTCAGCTACCGTTTTTGTCCACTATGTTCGAAAAAAGTCAGCATCAGCGTTGAAGACTTACAAGACTATTAACTTTGAATATTTATTAGCCGCTAAAATGCTATCTTATCAATCAGAGTGACATTTAATCCACCCAATCAAGGGACAATACTTATTGGTCAAGTGACATACTGAATACAGAGCAATAATGCAAATTGTAAGATGTCTTGGCAGTTTCAGTTTTAGTCTATCCAATGTCGTATGGAGGGAGCTTAGCATCTCCAGCATCCTCTCCTTTTTAAAGTTCACAATGAGTAGCTGGTTCACCGACACTGCTTCTTTAGCTAGTCCTATGTTGAGAGCAAGTTCTCAGGTAAGCGCCACCTCGGGATAATTCTCTATAACCTATGCTATGGTTGATAGCGACGGTGAAACATTTATTCGTTTGTCTCAGTAAACGTCAGGTATCCTACTGCAGTGAAGTCATCTCTGTCTCCAATCCGAAAAGCTTATTCTGTTATGCAACCTCTCTTCATCAAGCCAAAACTGGAGTTTCCCAACTGCTGGGTCTTAACAGCCCCACCAACAACAATGGCGAGGCGCTAACCTTTTGGCTGAACAATACTCTCTGACATTTCAACCAACCCACATCAACTATACTGATGACAGCTTCATCTGCAACTCCAAAGGACTTTCCGAAGTGAACCTGAGCGCTGACTTGGTGTTCCGGAAACTGCAGCACTTAAGAATAGACACTTCTCCTGGCCCGGATAAGGTCCATTCTGCCATACTGAGGGAAGCAGCCTCAATCCTAGCAACGCCGCTTAGCATGATTTTCTCACACTCGCTAAGCCGAGGAAAACTACCGAAAAATTGGAAGCTGGCTCACATCACACCAATTTTCAAAGGAGGTCGACGCAACGAACCTTCAAGTTACCGACCGTTGGCTCTTCTCTCTATACCTTCAAAAATCATGGAGTCCCTGATGAGATGGTAAACATGACTATTTACTGTCCTTAAACTTCTGCTCACCACAACAGCATGGTTTCAGGAAGGGTTACTCTTATATAACCAACCTGCTGACTGCGGTGGACAGATGGACAACCATTCTTGATCACAAGGGAAAGGTTGATATCACTGACCTTGATTTCTCAAAAGCTTTTGATAGGGTTAACCAGATGTGTCTTATCAATAAGCTCAAACGATTAGGTATCAGACCAACTCTAATTGATTGGCTCAGTTCATATCTAAGGGATTGACATCTTAAAGTCAGGGTCAACTTCACTTTATCTCAGGCTATGGAATGTCCTAGTATGGTCCCCTAGAATTGTTACTTTTCGCTGATGATGTGAAACTTTGGAGACAGACACGCAACCAAGTGGATATACAGGCACTTCAGGAGGATCTGACTCGACATCAAAGTTGGGCAGACGATAACGGACTTACCTTTAACACTTCAAAGTGTAAAGTTGTTCATCTGAGACATGTTGCAGAATACAGTCACAACTTAAGAAACTGCTCTCTAGTAGTATCCCTAGTCGAAAAAGACTTAGGAGTCCTGGCATCTTGCGATTTGAAGTCTTAGACTGTGACAAAAATGCCTTCCGAGCAAACCTTGCACTGGTAACATTGAAGCGCATTTTTGGCTAGTTTGACGGAAGAAATTTCCACATAATATTCAACAGTTTTATTCGTCTCCATTTAAAGTACGGAAAGACAGTATTTCCTCCCTCACTCCAAAAAGATAAGGACACTCTGGAGAATATCCAACGACGACCCACGAAACCAGGCCGTGGACTCAAATTTAAACCTTATGGAGAGCGCCTCCAATCACTAAACCTTTACTCATTAAAGCACAGGAGTCTTAGAGGTGACCTTCTGATGACTTAACACTTCTGGACATCCCCTTAAACACCTGATTAAGCTTTGTTTCAATACAAACCTAAGGGGTAACACCCAGAAATTGGAAATACAACATAGCAGAACGAACTGTAGACACAATTTTTACTCCATAAGAGTTGTCAAATACTGGAATTCGCTGCCGACTGAAACTAGTTCAAGCGACTTCCCAGAAGTCCTTTATGAGGAAACTTGTCCTATTCTTAAGGACTAAGGATAACATCTTACTATGATTTACCAATTTCTTTTATTTTTTCCTCTGTCATCACTAATATAGCTAGGTTCCCACCTATGGGCATTGGTGATCCACTGCTACTAGAAACGGAACCCCGTTAATCGAAAGCTTCTTCTATTCCGTCCACAAGCATTTGAACCATTATATAAAACGACTATTACACAATGTAACAACAGGAACTTCAACAACGTAAAAAAAGAAGCAAAGAGTGAGCTGAAAGTGAGATACTTCATGCATTAGGATCAACGAATACGATGGAGATGACAAGTTTCTCCGTCAATGAACGGATGTGATTGGACATCAAGAATTAAAATGATAAATTCAAAATATTCGGTTGGAAGGATTCAGTGGCGGGTAGATCTATTCGAGTTTTCCAAGTGCTAGGTTTATTTCGAGCGTGAGTTCTTTCTGATCATGCTGGATTTTTCTCTCCAGTATCTAACCTGTTTCTTTGATTTATTATTGTTTACATTAAGTTCTGCCAGTCACCTGGATGACCAAACCCCGTCATGATTCGTATATTCACACATTTTGTCACCACTTGTTAAAACTAGGAAAATGTTAGATTGAATAATGGGGTTTACCAAATGGTCTATAGCTATGAGTAATTGTGGTGAGAAACGGCAACTCTAACATGCTATCGTTAGTTACCTTGGCTGACAGATCCATTCGGATATTGATTGTCATCAAACCGGTTATCAGTACCTAAGCTTGCGAATGTCCACGTTCTCGAAAACATTTGGTACAGAGAAGCAAAATAAGTACAGGTATGTGAAGTCAAATGTAACTGATGTCTTGTGTGTAATCAAGCCAACGCAGAATGTGTCTACTGTTTCACTTGCGAACCGGTAGTTTAGTAAATATTTTTACTACCGAATTTCATCTCGTTTTTTTAAGCTGCCATACTGGTTGAGTCTTAGTAAGTGGTATTTTTCCTCGCTGAGCAATTTCTATTGTTTTGATCGTTTATTACGTATCAAGACTACTGTTTTCACTTTAATTGAATTTATTTCAGTTACAGTGTTCGATTAGAGTATCGTTTCCGTTTCTTAATTAGTTTGTCGTCGGTACTTTTGAGTGCTTTGTTTTCTGTTCTATTAGTTAGTACTTTTGGTTCTAACAATCTAGTTTTCCACTTTTTTGGTCATAGATCATTTTTGCACCTTGTTCTTTTTTAAAAAACACCTCTGTCTGATGACTGGACAGTGCCTAAAAAGCAATTACCAACGTCCTGGCTGTCGTTATCCCGTTGAAAGCGGCATGCAGTGCGATGAGTGCAAAGGCTGGTACCACGGAGTTTGCACGAATCTAACGCCTGCGGCTTTCAAACGGTTTAGTAAGAACGGTTGCGTGTGGCTTTGTCAACAGTGATGTTCGGATGCAAACAGCTTGCTAACCGAGGACATCTCATTGGTAAATGCTGCAAAAAAGTATTTTGGCAAGTGTGGTCGGGACACATCGAACAGTACTCGCTCCGGGCAGTATCACAGCCCTCACACATATCGAATGAGATTTGTGTGGCGCATATGTATTTGATGCCTCTTTGTACAAATATCTATGTGTTGAAATAAAATAAATTCGCTCCGTCGACACGCAAATTGACGTGAAGCAAACTCAGGGAAGTCTAAAAAACAGGTGACTCACAACGACCAAAGGAGGAAAAACAGTCTTCAAAGAGGTCTGCCTTAACCAAAAACTCAAGAAAAGAAGCTTCTGCCCCCCGTTTTCTAAATGGTATGCAGCAGGAAACGCCTAGAAGCTCAATCGGTTTCTAGCGGGAAACATAACCTGACCTCCGAAATCGTCGACAAACCTCCGAAATCCCACAGTATGTTTGACGCAACTGTTTGCCTCTCATAGCAACATTGACGAATGGGTACAGGTTGTACGGAAGAAACAACATAACGATATATAAAGGGAATCCTGCCTTCATAAAAGTAGTCGAGAAATCAAAGGCTGATCGCAGTGACAGGTCAGTTGTTTTTCATAGAATCAAGAAGAGTGAAAGCTCTGAACCAAAAACTCGTTTTGAGCATGAGATTGTGATGATTAAACAGCTGATTAATTAACTCATGCCTCAAAATATCCCCGGAGTCACCTTGCTAAAGGTGTACAAACAAGGTAGTCTAGCGAACTTGAAGCTCCCGGGTCGTCAAGACCAACACTAATCCAATTTCCTTTTCAGGTTCCTCAAGAAATACCCTTCCACGGTGTGGGCAGCCGGGAAGTGACATCAGCCCTCATACCCATAACAGCACACGAGACCAAGTTGGTCACATTCAGATCCTTCCTACACCTCCTAATACCTCTCTTATCTCCATGACTAACCCTCCTCACGTCTCTTTATCATCTCGCACCGTTAGGGAAAACGATTCGAGTACGTGGAACGCTATTCCTGGTCTCCTGAAACCACGCTCTAAACTACACGTAGGAGCTTTTAACGTCCGAACACTGTGCCAAATAGGACAGCAGGCTTCCTTAGCTAGGACTTTAGAATCTCGCGCCATCGATGTGTGCTGCGTCTCCGAAACGCGCATACAAGATCCGAGTAGCGTCATTCATTTGACTTCACCATGCCAAAATAAAGAACCGACTCGATTTACGCTTCGTGTATCTGGAAGTCCTGATTCTGCTTCCCGTGGACTCGCCAGCGTAGGTATAGCATTGAGTCCCAGAGCAGAATTAGCTCTCTTAGAGTGGATCCCAGTAGACAGCCGTTTGTGCGCTGTCCGACTGAACGAAACAGTAAGAATCCGGAAAGATAGGGACACCCGTCGTTGCCTCTTCGTCGTTTCTGCCTATTCTCCTACTGACTACAGCCCAGATGATGTAAAAGATGAGTTTTACAGAAAGCTTTCCGACCTTCTCCGAAAAGTTAGGCGCTATGATGTAGTAATAGTGGCCGGTGACTTTAATGCTCAAGTAGGTAAACTAAGCGATAGGGAAAGACACCTAGGTGGATCTTATGGTGTCGTGGCTCAAAGAACAGATAATGGCGACCGTCTGTTGCAGCTATGCTCAGATAATCGCCTGTTCCTTGCAAATACAAACTTTAAGCATAAGGAAAAACATCTTTTAACATGGTGACCCCCTAATTCGTCCCAACGTTGGACCCAAATAGATCACATCGCCATCAGCCACCGATGGAGAGGCTCGATAGAAGACTGTCGCTCATTCTGGAGCACATGCTTAGATTCAGATCATGCTCTAGTGCGAGCGCGTATTTGCTTGCGTCTTACTGAACGTAGGAAAGACGCTGCAAGGAAACCTCTTAGGGGCCTACTTAATGATAGTCAAGCTAAGAGTATATTTCAGGAACAGCTAGGAAAACAGTTAGGCAGCCATGTATGTGCTGCCCACCCCGATGCAGCATGGATTGATATCCGAAAAGCTGTGGAAACAGCAGTGATATCTGCTAGTAAGGTAAACCAGAAGGTTAGGGAGCAACACTGGATCTCAGCAGCATCTATCGCACTGATAGATGCTCGGAAACTCATTCCACCTGGCTCTGAACATAATGAAGAGCGGAGTCAGCTTAAGCGCAAGCTGACAAGAAGTCTACGCAATGATCGTGAACAGTGGTGGGTAGCGAAAGCAAGAGAGATGGAGAAGGCAGCGGCAATAGGTAATAGCAGACAATTGTTCAGACTCGTTAAGGAAACCGGAATTAGGAACCCGACCGTTAGCGAAACAATCTCAGAGAAAGATGGACATATTATTCATTCTCAATCCAGGAGATTGGATCGATGGGCAGAACACTTCAGGGATCAGTTCAACTGGCCTTCAGCCACACTTCGGTTTCCCACGATCCCCAGTCATCCTGAATGGCAAGTTAATGTAGGTCCTCCGTCTCTTAACGAAATTGAAAAAGCCATAGGAAATCTGAAACGAGGGAGAGCAGCAGGCCCTGACAGGTTTACTCCTGAGATTTTTAAGGATGGTGGTCCAGTATTAGCAATGAGATTAACCGAGGTCTTAGGTAGAATTTGGGAACTGGACGTAATCCCATCTGACTGGTCTCAATCACTGATTGTGCCAGTCTATAAGAAAGGACCTCTTGTGACAATCATAGAGGAATCAGTTTGACTAATATAGTGTCTAAAATATTAGCTTCAATAATATTTCGACGCCTAACTAAAGCTCGTGAAGAACAGACTAGAGAAAATCAGGCTGGTTTTCGACCTGGACGTGGTTGTATAGACCAAATATTCACACTACGTCAGGTTCTAGAACACAGACACACGTTTAGACGCCCCACAATAGTAGTATTTCTCGATCTTAAGGCGGTATTCGACTCTGTTGATCGTGAGGTTCTATGGCAGTGTTTGTCACAGAAAGGAGTACCAAAGAAGTACATTAACCTTATTCAGGCTCTCTACTCGAACACAACTGGTAGAGTGAGAGCTTATGGCGAACTGTCATCAGAATTGATTACCTCAAGTGGTGTTCGTCAGGGCTGTCCACTCTCTCCATTCTTGTTCAACTTTGTGGTCGACGTACTTTTAGAGATAACACTCTCCTCATCTAAATTTCCAGGGGTTGAACTTCTATCGGAAGGTTCACTTGTTGACTTAGAATATGCAGATGACATAGTTTTATTTGGTGAAGACGCTGACAAAATGCAGAGTCTTCTGACCACTCTAAGCAACAATGCAAGCATGTTCGGGATGCGATTCTCTCCCTCGAAATGCAAAATGTTGCTTCAGGATTGGGTTACATCGACACCCGAACTAGTGATAGGGAGTGAAGTAGTTGAGTGTGTCGACCGCTTCACTTATCTTGGAAGTCTCATCAGCCCTTGTGGTCTGGTGTGTGACGAAATCTCAGCACGGATACAGAAGGCTCGACTAGCTTTTGCCAACTTGCGTCATTTATGGCGTAGGCGAGATATCCGTCTATCAACCAAAGGACGGGTTTACTGTGCAGCAGTACGCCCCGTCCTACTTTATGGCAGTGAAACATGGCCGGTAAGAGTAGAGGATATTCGTACGTTACTAGTATTCGATCATAGGTGTCTTCGAAGTATTGCTCGTATATCCTGGGACCATCAAGTAAGTAATGCAGTTGTTAGGAAACGGGTACTAGGTAAGGATGGCAAATCAATTGATGAAGTAGTGAAACTTCATCAGTTGAGATGGCTGGGACACGTGTTACGTATGCCCAACGACCGACTGCCTCGACGAGCGATGTTCAGTGGTATAGGAGTAGGTTGGAAGAAAGGTAGGGGCAGCCAGACCAAAACATGGCACAAGTCTATGAAGTCACTGACAAGTGGTCTGAGTCATGTTGATAGGTATAGACCACCTGGTTGGGGACTGCGAGATGATAGCAACCGATGGTTAGAGACCTTGAATGACATGGCTCAAAATCGTTTGCAATGGCGCAGGTGCATCCACT